GGAGTCTCACTCTGTCGCCCAGACTGGAGTGCTGTGGCCGCTCCCGGCCACCGCAGCCTCGACCTGCTGGGCTCTGGCGATCCTTCTGCCTCAGCCTTCCGAGTAGCCGGAATTACAGGCGCGCGCTACCATGCCCAGCTGATTTTTTGATTTATTGTAGAGATGAGGTCTTGCTGCCCAGGCGGGTCTCAAACCCACAGGCTCAGGCAATCCACTCACCTCAGCCTCCCAAAGGTGCGGGATTACAGGCTGAGCCACTGAGCCCAGCTAAGATATATATTTTTTAAAAACCTTTTGTAGCGACGTTCTATAACAGCATCCAAATCCTGTACATGTTTTCTTAAGTGTATACGTAAATATTTCACTTTCTTTGGAGTAGTGGTAATTGCATTGTGTTTTTAATTTTAATTTCTGCCTGTTTATTGTTAGTATATAGAAATACAATTGCCTTTTTTCCCCTATGTTCTCGTTTCCTGCATTCTTGTTGAAATTACTTATTAGTTCCAGGAGTTTATGTGTAGATTGCTTGGGATTTCTGCATAAAACAGTCATGTTAGCTGCAATCTCCATGCTTTTTTTTTCCCCTTGCATTATTGAGGAGCTAGATCTGCCTTAATAATGCTTTGTTGAATAAGAGTGGTGAAGATTGACATCCTGTCTAGTTGTTGATATCAGGGGGAAAGCATTCAGTCTTTCACCATGAAGTATGATGTTAGCTGTAGATATTTTGCCGGTGCTTCTTAGCAATTTGAGATCATTCTTGTGGAGAGTTCTGATGAATGGACGTTAGCTTTTGTCCAATGCTTTTCCTGCTTCAATTGATATAATCAGATGATTTTTCTTCTTTAATCTGCTGATATGGCATATTACAATGATTGATTTTCTTTTTTTCTTTCTTTCGTTCTTTCTTTTTTATTGAGAGGACAGAAAAGCTCCCACAGTGGAAGGGACCTGAGGGGGTTACCAATGATTGATTTTCAAATGTTTGATCACTCTTACATTGCTGGAAAAAAATTCACCTGGTCATGATGTATAATTCTTTTTTTACATATGTTGCATTTGGATTGCTAATCTTCTGTTGAGTGTTTGTTGAATTCATGAGAGAGATTTATCTGGAGTTTCTTTTTTTGTAATGTCTTTGTCTGGTTTAGGTATCCTGATAATACTGGTCACATAATATTAGTTAGGAAGTGTTCTTTCCTTTTCTGTTTTCTGGAAGAGATTGTGTAGAACTGGTGTTAATTCTTTAAATGTTTGATAGAATTCTCCACTTCAGCCCATCCTAGGTATTTATTTTTCTTGGAGTTTTAAAATAATAAGTTAGATGTCTTTAATGGTTATAGGACTATTCACAATCTATGTCATCTCAATTTTTTTTTTTTGAGTTGGAGTCTCACTCTGTCACCCAGACTGGAGTGCAGTGGCATGCTCCCGGCCACTGCAGCCTTGATCTGCTGGGCTCCGGTGAACCTTCCGCCTTAGCCTTCCAAGTAGCTGGAACTACAGGCACGTGCTACTACGCCCAGCTAATTTTTTGTTTTATTGTAGAGATGAGGTCTCACCAAGTTGCCCAGGCAGGTCTCGAACCCATGAGCTCAGGCAATCCACTCACCTTAGCTTCCCAAAGCGCGGGATTACAGGCTGAGCCACCGAGCCTGGCTTTAATTAAGTATTAATAGTTTGTGGCTTTTGAGGAATTGGTCCATGTCTTCTAAATTGTTGGATTTATGAGTGTAAAGTTCATAGTATTCCCTTATTGTCCTTTTAATGGCTGTAGTGTTATCTCTTGTTTTAGTCCTGATATTGCTGATTCATATCTTCTCTCTTTTTATTCTTATCAGTCTTGCTAGACTTGTATCAATTTCATGGATTCTTTCCCCAAAGAACCAGTTTGATATTCTGTATTGTCCTATTTTCAGTGTCATTGATTTCTGCTCTTATGTTTTCTACTTTCTTCCTTCTGCTTGCTTTGGGTTTACTTTTCTTTTCTAGTTCCTTGAGGAAAGGACTTGGATTATTGACTTGAAATCTTTCCTTGTTACAAGTAAGCATTTAGTTCTATACATTTTCCTCTCTGCACTGCTTTAGCTATATCCAGCATATTTTTGGTATGTTGTATTTTCATTTTTATTCAGTTCTATCTTTTTTTTTTTTTTTTTGGAGTCTCACTCCATCGCCCAGGCTGAAGTGCAGTGGCACACTCATGCCCACCCCAGCATTGACCTCCTGCTGGGCTCTGATGATCCTTCCCTCTCATGCTTCCAAGTAGCTGGAACTCCAGGCACACGCTACTATGCCTGGGTAATTTTTGGTTTATTGTAGAGACAAGGTCTTGTCAAGTTGTCTGGGCTGGTCTTAAACCTGCGGGCTCAGGCAATCCACTGGACTCGGCCTCCCAAAGTGCTAGGACTACAGGCTGAGCCACAGAGCCCAGCCCTTTATGTATTTTTTAATTTCCTTTAAGACTTCTTCTTCGGCCTATGCTAGCTAAAATTGTGCTGTTCAATTTCGACATGTTTCCTATTATCTTTGCTACTGATTTCTAGTTTGATTCTATTATGGTTGAAGAACACATGCTGTGTGCTTTTAATTTTTTAAGGTTCTTGAGGTTTGTTTCATGCCTTAGGATATGGTTTATCTTGGTGAATATTCCATGGATGCATGAAATGTGTATCCCACTGTTGTTGGGTAGAGTACATATGTCAACTGGATCATGTTGATTGACTGAGTCATTCAGATTTTTTATATCCATGCTGATTTTCTTTCTACAGATAGTCTTTTGATGCAAGAAGTATGAAGTCCTCAACTGTAATTGTGGATTTGTCTGTTTCTCCTTCTAGCTCTATCAGTGTTTCTTGTATTTTGAGGTTCTTGTTTGATACCTACATATTTAGGGTCTTTATGTCTATCTAGTGAATTGATCTTTTTATCATCATGTAATACCCACTCTTTATCTGTAATAATTGTTTTGCTCTGAAGTGTACTTTATTGAATATGAATATAGCCATGCATTCTTTTAAAATATTGTTTGGTTTCTCTTTTTCCTTTTATTTTCAACCTATCTATATTGTTGACTTTGAAGTGAGTTTGTTGTAAACAGTATATAGTTGGGTCATGTTTCTTTATTCACTCTACTAATCTTTCTTTTGATTGATATATTTAGACCATTTACATTTGAGATACTGTGGATGTTGAAGCTTAAGTCTGCCATTTCATTACTTCTTTTCTGTTTATTTCCTCTGGTTCTTGTTCTTTATTTCTTTTTTCTTGCCTTGCTGTGGGTTACATGATCTTTTTTTAGAACTATTTTACTTATAGTGTATTTGCGTAGTTTTCATGGTCACTATGGGTTTCACAGTATACATGTGTGACATATCATAGTCTTTTGGTATCAACATTGTAACATTTTGAGTCACCTTACTTTTCTTTAGGTTATTTTACCTTTTCCACTTTTAAATATTAGTCTTAAGTATCAGATGACATAACTTTTGTTTCAATCAGATATGATTTATAACATTCACAAGGATAAGTATAGTTTATTATATGTACCCACATTTCTGCTCTATTGGTCTTTTTTCCTTCTTGATGCTTCAAGATTCCTTCTTTTATTATTTTCCATTTGAAGAAATTCCCTTAGCCAGTCTTAAGGGTATACTTGTTAGTGACACATTCTTTTAGTTTTCCTTTGTGTGATACTGTCTCTGTTCTTCCTTGATTCCTGAAGGATAGTTTCAACAGATATACAAGGGAGGACACCAAAAAAAAAAACTGAAATTGTTTTTTTGGAGGGTGGGCCCCTTGTATCACAGGATTCTCTCTTTAGGTAAGTGTCCTAAGAACCCATTAGCATCAGTGTACCAGCTAGCATTGTTGTGAAAGCCTACATTCAGCTTCAGTGAATTTTCATCTCATGATGGGTGATTTATGAGCACACCTGCCCACACCTTGCTGAGTGTTCAGCAGTTTTGGACCAAAAACAGCATGACCCCTCTTCCCCCACTCCCTCCCCAACCCAATCTCACCCTGAGCAACTTCTGTTTCCCCAGATGAAAAAAGCCCTCAAAAGGAAATGTTTTGCTGATGTGGAAGAGGTGAAACAAAAACCAGCTGAAGCACTAAAAGGCATCAAAATTGATGAGTTCAAAAACTGTTTTGAGCAGTGGAAAAAGTGTCACAATAAGTGTATTATATCAGAGAGAGTACTTTGAAGGTGACTGAAGCTTAAGCATATAAGAATAAATGCACATTTTTTATAAATAAATTCCGAGTTTTTGGGGGTCCCCCCCATAGAACCTTGGTTGACTGGTCTTCTCTTTCAGCACTTTTAAAATATTGTGCCATTTCCTTCTGGCCACTGTGGTTTCAGATGAGAAATCTGCTGTCATCTGAATTGATGTTTCTCTATAAGTAATTCTTTATGACTGCTTCCCAGATTTTTCTTTGTCTTTGGTTTTCATAAGCTTAATTATGATGCCTCTTGGTGTGGGTGGGTTTTCTGTTAGGGCTTGCTCAGCTTCTTGAATCTCTAGTGTATGTCTGCAGGCAAATTTGGGTCATTTTCAGTCATTATTACTTCAAATACTCTTTCAGCTCCACACTTTCCTTCTAATACTCCAATGATATGAAGGTTAGCTCTTTTGTTATTGTCCCACAGACCCCTGAGGCTTAACTCTTTTTTTAAGTCTGTTTTTTCTCTGTTGTTCATTTTTGGTAAATTCTGCTGACCTCTCCTCAAGTTCAGTGTTCCTATCCTCTGTCACCTCCACCCTGTTCTTGAGCCCATCCAGCAGTTTTTATTTCTGTTATGGTATTTTTCAAGTCTCTGATTTCCATTTAGTTCTTTATAAAGTCTCTTTCTTTGCCAAAGTTTTCCGTTCATTTCAAGATAATTTGTAATTTTTTTTTTTAAGCTGGGGGTCTTTAGCCTAGAGTGCAATGGCTGGAGTTCACAGCTCACTGCAGCTTTGATCTACTGGGCTCAAGCGACCCTTCTGTCTCAGCCTCCTGAGGAGCTGTTTACTACAGGCCCTCACCACCACACCTGGCTAATTCTTTTTTTGTAGAGACAAGGTCTTGCTACATTGCCAAGGCTGGTTTTGAACTCCTGAGGTCAAGCAATCCTTCCATCTCAGCTTCCCAAAGTGCTGAGATTACAGGTGTGAACCACCACACTCAGCCAATAATTTGTAATTAATTGAAGCATTTTATGACAGCTGCTTGCTTTACAATCTTGCCAGAGTATTCCAACATCTGATTCATCTCAGTGATTTATTTTGGTTAATTGAGTTCTTTGATTGCTTTTTCTCATTCAAGTTGTGATTATCCTGGTTGTTAGTATGTCAGGTGACTTTTGGTTTTATCCTAGACATATTGTTCATTATAGAAGGAGACTCTGTGTCTCACTTAAATCTGTTATTTTAGCAGGTACTCACTCCGTTTATGTGAGCATGCAGGTCCTGGCTCCTTTGTTAGCTGTTATTCCAATGACAGTTAAATGTTCAGAGCCTTCCCAGTATTATTTTGGTCTGCTTGGTATATCCTGTGTCTCTGGGACTCCCACTGGACCCTGCTGATCCTCTCTGAGGGCTGGCAGGGGGTTCCCCAGGCTGAGCCACTCAGTCAGTGTCTCTTAGTCTAAGAAGGGAATCTCAGGATCGTGGGACCAAAGAGGCTTCCCTGACTAAGGACTAGTGTGGCAGGATTCCCCCTACCTGAAGGGATGGGGAGTGCATCTGTTCTGGGTGCTTCTGTGGCAGGACACCCTTACCCACCACCACCACCACTCCAGTGTTCAGATAAGGTAGGGGGTTAGAGAGTCTCAGGCCCACCAGTACAAAAGGCTTCCAAGGTACGTTTATTGTGGTGGAATCCCCTCTTGCCAGTTTTGACTGGCTGCTGTAGTGTTTCCATGTATTTTTTTTTTTAGTTTTGTTCATAGGTACATTATAGCTCTTAGCAGTGTTATAAATAGAATTTATTAAAAATTATTTTATTTTCTAATTGAAGTTGTGAATAGAAATGCTAATAATTTGTGCATATTAATCTTGTATTTGGAAAATTTGCTGAATTCAAGACTTCGTGGGAAAGAAAACAAAATTTGCTGAACTCATATTGGTTCTTAGGTTTTCTACATTTCCAAACATTATATACCAATAGTTAGACTTTTAATTTTTCCTTCTTAATCCCTATAGGTCATATTTCCTTGTCTTTTAGTACTACAGTGGATAAGCTCTGTAGTACAAAATAATAAAAAAAAATCAAATCAACATCTTCATTTTGATCCTGACTTCAACATTTAGCCATTAAGAAGCTTTTGTCATAGATTTTTGGCAGATATTCCTTATCTGTTTAACCAAGCTCCTTTCTAGTCCTATTTGCTAATGGTTTTTGTTTTGTTTTTAAAATCATGAATTGGTGTTGAGTTTTCTACAATTTCATTGAGGTATAACTTATATAAAATAAAATGAACAGAGTTTAAGAACATGGTTTGATGAGTTTTCACACATGAATACACCTATAAAGCTACAACCTAAATCAAAATATAGAATTGAGAAAATTTCCTGTCGTCTTTTTGCAGTCATTCTCTTTGTTCTCAAAAGTATTTTGGCTCTTCTAGGTCCTTTGTATTTCCATATAGGTTTTTAAAGTCTGTTTATACCACAAAAGCTTGCTGGGATCTTGGTTGGAATTGCATTGAATTTCTAGATCAAGTTTAGTAGAATTGATCTTAATAATATTAAGGTTTCCAATCCTTGGATACCGTATAATTCTCCATTTCCTTTGGTCTTTTTTAATTTTTAAAATTTCAGTAGTATTTTATAATTTTTGATGGGGAGGCCTTGCATGTCTTTGACTGAATGTATTCCCATACTTACCGGCCAGGGGAGATACCATGATCACGAAGGTAGTTTTCCCAGGGTGTGGCTTATCCTTTGGACTCCAGATGTGCTGACCCCTGTGATTTCCCCAAATGTGGGAAACTCAACTGCATAACATGTGGTAGTTGGGGAAGGGGAAGAAAAAACATTTTAGTCCTAAATGTTTCATGTTATTTGATGCTATTAGGGTTTGTGTTTTGTTAATTTCATTTTCCACTTGTTTATTTTAGTAGATTTAAATACTATTGATTTTTGTACATTATCCTTATATACTGCAGCTTTGACAGATTTACTTATTAATTTTAGCAGATTTTTGGTAGATTTTTAAGTTTTTTCTACATAAATGTCACCTGTGAAACAAAACAGCTTTGTTGTTCCTTTCCATTTTTTGCCTTTTGTCTGTCTTGCCTATTGCATAAGACCTCTAGAAAGAATACTCTCTATTCTAGAAAGAAATACTAGTATGGCATGCGTGTGGTCTAGCTTCCTCAGCCATACAGCTCAAACATACCATATTCTAAAAGGCAGCAAGTCTACTACAGCTAATTAAGACAACCCAGACAATACTGGCTACTTTCTTGTATTGAAAAGTGTGCCAATAATGATGAAATGAATACCATTTATTACATTCCTTTTTATTTTTGACAGCTGCAAAATCTCCCAGTTATTCACACAGGTATATATTTTGGTGCAGTACTAAGACCTTTCATTAGCTTCCAAAAGATAGTTTCCAGATTCTACCCAGCCTCATTTTAAATAATAAAATTTTTGCCCTGTGCCAAGAAAGCGAAAGATAATATACAGTATCTTTTAGTCGGAGAAGGCAAATCCTTTGTGCCCATGGTTCTGCAAGATAAATGAATCTACTTTTATCACTGTTCCACAAGCCTAGATAATTTACTTATTAGCCTGTGGGAAGCTTTCCTGTCTAGAACGTTCTATCTCCTAAGAACTTTGTGCAAATCACCGATGGGCACTTAGGCAACTCGATGATCTAACTGGCTTCTACCCAACATAAGGGGCTCGAAAGTAGACAGCCTAGAAAGAAGTATGACTTGTTGCTTTTTGTTCTAACTGAAAGTTACGGGGCAAGTGAGAGAGAGCAGTTAGTTAAACGTGTGGATGCAGTTTGCTCAGGAGCTCTTGGCCTGACATCGCCCTTGTCCACAGAGCTCCAGTGGTCAACTGACCGACTTCCTGAGCTTCTACACACTGCCCTCCACAGTGATGCACCACCCTGCTCACAAGAGCCTCAAAGCTGCCTACTCTTTCTACAACATCCATACGGAGACACCCCTGCTGGACCTCATGAGTGATGCGCTCATCCTAGCTAAGCTGGTAAGCCTCTGGTTCTTTTCTGTGCTGTCTGGTTCTCCAAATATGTATGCCAAAGTATATAAAACATCTTGCTGAATTTTCTTCCACACGTGGAATTCCTGTAAATTTTTTTTTCACTATTGACCATCAGTCAAAGGAAGAATTCTGATAAGAGTTTATTTTAAAACTTTTGTGGCTACTTTCATCATTACTTTTATTGCAGCTTACCCCAAAAAAGTGTACAAATTAGAAAAGTATAAACCCTTATATAAGAATACATAAAACTTATGGTATATGAAAGTAATATTAGGCATATAAGAAAAAGACATGATTTCATCACATAAGGAAACTACGAGTAAATATTTATGTTGAGTGAATAATTAGCAGCAATAAGTTTTTTGATTCAATTTAATAGTCTGAATTTTAGCCTGTAATCCCGCGCCTTTGGGAGGCTGAGGTGAGTGGATTGCCTGAGCCCGCGGGTTCGAGACCCGCCTGGGCAGCGAGACCTCATCTCTACAATAAATAAAAAAAATCAGCCAGGCATGGTAGCGCATGCCTGTAATTCCGGCTACTCGGAAGGCTGAGGCGGAAGGATCACCGGAGCCCAACAGGTCGAGGCTGCGGTGGCCGGGAGCGGCCACTGCACTCCAGTCTGGGCGACAGAGTGAGACTCCAACTCCAAAAAAAAAAAAATAGTCTGAATTTTAAAAGGTATTTTAAGTTAAAGAAATTCAACTCAAAATGTACCTTACTATATCTGTTATTTTTCTATTCTCTCAGTAGTGTAGAAGTTTGGATTAAATTTTACTATAAGTAGACATTTCCCTTTAAAAAGAAATTTAAGTCAGCTGACAAATACATTTTGATGATACATACTGAATGTGGGAAGATAATTGTTCATGGGAAATTGGAAACAATACATCAAAAGTGTCTTCCTTGCATGTCTTAAGTATTTGATAACTGAAAACATTATTTTAAGACATCTATTACCTGGGCTTTGGGATTCCCCAGGTCAGCATTACCCTCATATTATCGGTTCATTTTCACCTACTTCCCCAAAATGGCCAATAGTAAGTTATTTAAGGTAAAAGCCCTGAGAATAAAAATGTCATGCTTCCTCTATCACATTTTGCATAATATCATCATCTAACATTTTAAAGAAATTTCATTTTTACCTTAAAAATTTTACTAAATTTACTTCTCATTATCAGCTCAAGACAAACATACTATTTAAAGTCTTTACAACTTTGGTTCTGTGGCAATGGCTACAGCCAAGTCAGGACTTAGAAAGGCCAATAATTAACATTCCTGGAGCTGAAAGCATCTTGACAACTTCTTCTAAAACAGGAACAAAGTATTTTCTGAAGTAAGTTATTTTATGTCAATGGCAACCATCACACTACTACATTTTTTAAATTATCTTGCTGGCTCCATCAGATTCACTGCTAGTTTTATAACAATCTTGAGCTGAATTCTTACCTATTCTATGAATTACAGATGTTAACTCCTATTATAAATGCATATTTGAGCTATTAGAATTAAATGTTAAAATACATAATATAGAAAACTCTAGTCTTGTTTCAAATATTAATCCCTTTTACATTGGCAGAAAGGATTTGATGTATTCAATGCACTGGATTTGATGGAAAATAAGACATTTTTGGAAAAACTCAAGTTTGGTATAGGAGATGGCAATTTACAGTATTACCTGTACAACTGGAGGTGTCCAGGTACAGATTCTGAAAAGGTGAGTGTGGTGGATAAAACCTTTGTAAACTCTATACCTACTTCCCTTAGGATTAAGAGGGCTTTTTAAGTAGCTTTAAAAAATACAGATCTATTGTACTACATTGTGATTTTTCTTACTCTTCCATTTCTTCCCTCCCTTTAGGTTGGACTTGTACTACAGTAGATGGATATTTTTATTTCTATAACTCTGAAGCATCAGTTGTTAATATTCAATTTGATGATTTCCGGAACTGCCATTCCAAAGAATAAAAGCACAACTTAGGAGAAATTGAAGTAGTCGATAACAATCAGAAAACACGAAAAAACAAATTCATGTGTGACCAACAGTACATACTTCTAGCTAGAATGTTAAAATTCATCCTTTTTTGCACTGCTTACCCGTTTTTGAGAAGGATGAAGGGGAACAAAGAGCACATTCTTCTAATTTTCAAACTTTTGGCTGTCTCTTGATGAAGAGAGGTATTTTTCCACTCTTTAGAAAAGGGACTGTTTTTCTATGGACTAAATAGATGTCACAGAATCGTGTAAGAAAACGTTTGCTATTGTGTGGAAATAAACTGCATTTCTATTTATTAAGTGGTGGCACATTTGTCCAGGTAACAAAGAGGAGGCTCCATTTGGAAGATTTTTACATCAGTGGGAACATTTATGAAATTAACACTTATGTAACTGACAAGTAGTGGATGTTTATATGAGTAGCAATATATGTACTGGTGACTATTACATTTATTTCTCCATAAGCAAAATTGCCAAATCAGTAAATACACAGATTTGTACTTTGAGCTTCACCAGGTTGGTGGATTGTTTCAAAAGCAAAGTTTTGTGCAAATATTAAGTGTGCTTTCTGAAAGAGCATATACCCATGACTAAACTTTTCTGCTGCTGTGCAATCTCCAGTTTATTCTCAGCAACATCAAGGATATGTGAGGAAAAAGAAATAATAGCTCTAGAGTCAAAACAGATGCCCAGTGGAATTGACTAGTGCTTTCAAGACATTGATGGTTTGAATGTTTTTATTACTCATGCAAAATTGCACATATTCCTTTATGCTGACTTTAATTTATCATGAAAACTGTCATGCTCATGGAAAATGTCTTATTTGTAAATAAGTATTCATAATTTTGTTACTGATGGTGTTTTTATCTAGAATTTGAAAAACAGAGTTTCCCAGTGTACATATATGTGTATATATTGCCAGTGATTTAAGGAAAAAATAAGACGATAAATGATGTCACACAGACTGGCCTTGACTCAAATACAACAAAGTAGTCATTCTTCCTGCCTTTACTGTACCAGTGCCTAGGCTGTTCAGTGCAGAAAAAGTTAATTATTTTGACAACATAATGGCATTATAAGTAGTCCCATGAAACCTATCATATCTTACACCTGGCGGTGGGGGTGGGCACCAGATTGGGGCTTGTGGGCTAAATCCTGCCCATCGCCTGTTTTTGCACAGCCTCTGAACTGAGTGGTTTTTAATTTGCTTGAATGGCTGGGGGTGGGGTTAGTCAAAATAATAGCATCATTTTGTGACATACAAATTATATGAACTCACATTTCAGCAACTATAAATAAAGTTTTACTGGAACAGTCACACTTTTGTTTACATATTGCCTGAGGCTGCTTCATGCCAAACCGACAAGCTGAGTTGTGGCAGACCGTATGGCCTGCACAGCCTAGAATGTCTGCTCTTCGGCCCTTTAGAGGAAGTTTGTTGACCCTCATCTTCACCAAGTTGAGAGCTGTTCTGTAGCTCGCCCTCATCCTAAAGACCAACCCGCAGCCATGACATCCCTGCGACTACCACTAGAGGGCAGACTTGAGCCCCACAGTAGTGCAAAATCGGGACCAATACTTCAACACAGTGGAAACATATGGTTTAAACACAATTGCATTACCATTCTTTCCTAACAGGAGACAGCTTTGAGAAACAAACTGATACCAATATATGAATATGTTCTGAGACACCAGAATTAATTAAAGGGGACTTTGACTTAATTTGGAGTCAAGGCTCTAGTTAGGAACCTATGTTCCACTCATTTTTATGGTACAAAGTAGGTTTTCAGATAACTGCAGAATTGCTAGTGGAAATTCTGTCATGACCTTACTTCATGATGAAACTGTCACATTGTTCCTTTAAAGATTCATTTGCATAATTCCTGTTGTTATAAGGCTCACATTATTGTAATTGTTTAAATATGTAATTAATAACGTTTACCACTTTATAACTTAAGCAGATTGCCAGTGAACATTTTAGAGAATCAGTAAACTTTATAGTAGCTATTAAAATGAGATTTAAGTGCAATATATACTATCTTATAGATTCAAAAACATATTGTCCTGAATATTTGTCTTTGATGAAAATGCTCTGTTCCATAAGGTATCCATGTTTTTGTTTTTGCCAAGATAGTACTAAGTAAAATGTAAATGAGCAGAGGTGACATAAGCCATGAGTCAACCAGAACTCAGGGTAGAAAAAACTTTTGGTAATCTAATACCTTCCCCCTAAACTAGAGAGGGACTTTTCCAAACACAATGTAAACAGCAGACACCAACATAGAGCATTAATTATGCTCTACTTCCTAACCTGGAGGACCCTGGCCATAGAATACAGACCCACCTCTGAGAACCCAAGCTCCTGCTTTTTACTCTCTTCTTGCCACATTTCATCCAATTACCATATACTTTTCATACATGTTAGACTTCCAAGGAAGTTAACGATGTAAAGGAGGTGAATTCTAACTCATCAAAACACCTTATCTGGCTTTTTCTATAAATATCAAGCCTTTCTCCCAAGTCTATGTCCATGCCTACCTACAAAGAAAACCAAACTGACATGAAGTTAAAAATGTGTTGCTTCTGAAGACAGTGTATTGCTTGGCATTTGGTATCTTTCCCTTAAAACTGATGATGCTTCTCTAATCCAGTTCCATCAACCTGACTAGAACCATGTTTACTGTGGCACATTTTCCAAGTTTGATAGAAAAATGTTGTGTTGTAGGATGCAAATGTTCTTGCTTACAAGCATTATACAAGCCTTTAAAAAAGTGAATTTATACAAGCATGGATAGTAGCTACAATAAACTTTTGTTTTGATATATTTATTTTCTGCACTTAGTGTTTTTAAACTTCAGCACATCTGTGCCATAGTTAGTCTTACACCCATGAACATTACCAAACAGGATCCTAAGAATACATGTAAATAGAAATCCTTTTATTAGTTTCAAGCCTTCTTTAAAAAGTGTCCTTTTACAAACTATGAAATGACAAGTTTATGCAAGATTACTTTGAAGTAGTTTTTTTACTTTTAGGTGGTTTCCTTATCTTATTAGGGTTTGGAACCAGTTTCTTTATTTTGAGGGGTTGTAATATTATGGTGGAAGCCTGCTGACCCTCAGTAAGCTTCCTCTTATGTTTCGAGAGGTCTTCAGATGAAGTGTCCAGAACCTCTTTGTCTTGGCTTTCCAAAGACTCATTCTCTAGATTTTCCATGACATCCTCAGTTCTGTCTTGAAGCCATGGTACACTTAAACTGGGCACCCTAGGAATGATGGCTCTTACTTCGTCCACAAAGTCAGTGGTGTCCTTTCTGAACCCCAAGGCCAGAATGCATTTCAAGCCCATGACAGGGGCGATCCTCTCACTGAGCCGAGGAACCTGACAAGCAGGTACGGTTCTGCTCAAGCTTAACTGGATCAGGTGCGAGGTGATCACAGCAGGCTTGACCGACTTGCACACTAGAACTAAAAGCAGTTCACTCCTCTCCAGGGCTCTGGTGACTTCGTTAACGCCAATGGCAAGCTGCTTCCGGACATGCACGGGTGTCCACCCTGATACCTGCTGGCCAGCATCTCCTTTCTTCTCCTTCATATCCTCACTGACATCAACATCTGTGATGCCTTTTGCTCTACTTTCTTTTTTTGAAAAGGGTGTTTTTTTCTTTTTCTTCTTATCTTCAATCTTCTGAAGTCCGATGGACTTAAACCTGTCCTCAAGCGTCTGCAATATGAAGTGCATATCCTCTCTCTCTAGAGGGCTCCAACAGATAGTGTACGGATTATTCAGTGATGTCTTTACAATCAAAGGTCTCGTCTTCCGAACAGATCCTCTCCCGGGTGCTTGAGGAGCAGCAGCCATTTTAAATATCCTCACAGAGAAGCAAAATGACAACAGAAAACTCATGTTAGCTAGAAATGCACGTCTTGAGAATACCCTGGTGGTACCCTCTCTGATTCTTGATAAGCCAGAGCAAGTCTAATTATATAGGTCCAATCAGGTGACCTTACATTTGACCTCTCCTTTAAGTTATTTTAGTTTTCTTCATTTTTTTAAACCCCATTTTGAATGCTCAGTTGAGGCCCTTCTAAAATATTCAGGACTATCTGGGACCAATGTTTGATTTTCCCCATTTTTTTTTTGGTATGACTTCATCTTTATTCATTTGCAGGCAATATGTAAATGTATGCCATTATTGCAATTCCATTTGTTCATTCATTTCATTTATTAAAAATGTAATGTTTCTACTTATTCATAATTATCCTTTCAGTGGCTGTATGGTATTAATCTTATGGAGTTGTTACCATTTTCCAAACTGCTCCCTAGTCGGGCTTCCATTCCTCATTCAACAAATATTCACTCAGCACCCTCGGTGTGCAGATGGTGTTCTAGGCCCTGGGACTTAGTCAAGGAGACCCCGTATCCACCTGTATGGAGCTCCCCATCTGTGAGGACCCAGGAGGTCTCTGACATTCATAATTAACCAGGTGTGAGCCTTTAAAGAATTGGAACAGTAATCTACGGACATGATTAAAACTTCAAATACCACTTTCATTCTGTCCCCTTATGTAAGTCTGCTGCCCTCCCTGGCCCCTACATTTCTTGAATTATCCTTCCTAAAACGTGACACACATGCAGGCATATATTCCCCCTTCTTATGGTTATTCCAAACTCCAGCTGGCAACTTCAGGAAGGCTAGGGAAATGTTGCAATGAAAGTTATAAAGTATGTTGGAATGCATAAACAGCATTCCTTTAGACGCCCCCATATTTGGAGGAGGAAACAGACTCATTGCCCAAAGTCACAACTAGCCAAATCCCGACTGCACCTCAAAAATAACCTGTGGCTTTTACAGATGGTTGGTCCTCAACCCAGATCTACTGAATTGGCATCTCTGGGAAAATGGCCAGGAAATCTGTGCTTATAAAAAGCTTCCCAGGTGAATCTGATTCAGAACCAGAGTCAGGAACTGCTGGTGTACCTCAGGTGGCCTTTCCACACTGGACAGCCCTGAGAAATTATTCCCTAACCCTACTGGTCTTGGATGGTCTTCCTGGACACCTTCCCACAGAAAGTCGAAATTCAGCTCCTTGAAGTGAGAGCAAACCTTGGTCCGGCCAGTTTACTTACTGCCCACTAAGCCGCTTCCTTCACACTGTCCACACTGTGTGCCCTCCCCCACTCCTATTATCTCTGTGTTCTCCTCAAGCTCAGGGAATCAACAAGAAAAGCAGCTCATCCAAATCTGATGCAGGATCACCAGCGGCTGGCACTAAATTCAAGGTGGTCAGTTAGAGGGAACTACAGGATGATGGGGAGCAAGACAAACATGATCTGACGGAGCTCTTGCAAAACCGCACGTCAGATCATGTCTTGGCATCCAAACAGCATGGGACAAATACTTAAATTATGTGCACCAGAGGGATGGTAAGGTAGGCAGTAACTTCTCCTGTGTGCAGAATCTGGCGGGGAGATGAAGAGAGCCAAGCAGTTCACATAAGCACAATCTCATGCAGTATAATCCAAAAGCAAAGTACTGACTAGTAAGTAACAGCTGCGGACAAAGGGAGAAACAAACAGGAAGGCCTTGCTAAGGTGCCTTTTGAGCTGCGTCTTGGAGACCTCTGCTGCCTCGTAGATCAAGTGCAAACTCCTTAATGTGACACACGAGGCCCTCCACATTCTGACCCAATCTCCACCAGCCTCTTTCTCCTCAGGGCCCGCCATGCACAACACACTCAACACTGAACCACGTTCTATTTCATGAGGCCACCAGTTTCTCACCTCCATGTCTTTGTACACATTATTCCCTCTGCCTGGAATATCACTTCCACCCTCAGCCCCAGGACCACCTTTCTTACGTCAAGAAGTATTTATGGGTTATCCACGATGCGCCAGGCCATAAAAATTAAATATTAAACGAAGAAAAGACAGTCACCAGCCTCAGTGAGCTGAGAGTCTATGAGGAAGACATCAGCGGGTAATTGTACAAAAATGTCTGGTGCCCATGAAGGTCAAAGAACTACAGGATGCTTAGGGAACAAGCAGAGGCCTAGCTTAGTTGAGAGGGTAAGGAAAGGAAGGCCTGGAAGTAGTGACCTTTTAAGCCACATCTTAAGAATGCCTACCAAAGGGAATAAGAAGTAGAGAAGGGTATCCCAGCATTAACGGAAGTGAAATACGTTCACTGTCGCTGGGGCAGAGATGATGGAAAAAGAGTGGTGAGATATTAGGAAAGGTCGGTAAGGACCAGAGGGTGAGGGCCCTCGCAAATCTTGCAGTGGGAAGGGACTGGACCGTTTAAAGCAGGGAAGTTGCAGGACTGGAGAGACGTTATAGAAAGAGCTTTGTGGATTCCGGGTAAAGAGGAGTCCTGCAAGACTGGAAGCACCAAAGAGGCTTTGGAGCAAGTCCAGGTGACAAATGCTGGTGGCCTGCACGAGAGGCGCCGCAGACGGATGGAGGGAGATACAGGTGAGTTGAAGCAGGAGGTCAAATCTCTCCGACGTAGCGATCGGCTAGGAGGATAGCTGAGGTCTCAAGGGTGACTCCTGGCTTTTGGACCCGATGGGTAGCAGGGGGAACAGCGGCGCCGGCTCTCAGAACTGCATTTCTGACCCAGAGTTAATCCCTCCCCACTGTATGTCGCCCCCATATCTAGTACCTCCGTCCTTTACTATTTACCACGCGGAACTGTGTTGCCCGTCTCTCCTTGGAGACCGTGGAGTACCGAAGGGTCGGGATGGAATTTTATCTTTGAATTCCTAGTGCTCAGATCTGCAATCCAGGCAGGAGGCGCGCCGTCCCAGGCGAGGCGGTGGGTCCAGCGGCCGCGCTACAGGCGTCCGGGAACCGCGGAGGCCCTGCGTACCCCGAGGCTTCGGCCTCCCTCCTCCTGCGTGGGAATCCCAGGCCCGGTCCCAATCCGGATGGGCCTTCTGCCGGGTCTGCGTGTCCTGCGCCCACCTCGGACTCCGGCTCGCGGCTCTGACGTCATCCGCAAGGGACAGCGCCGGTTCCACGTGGGCCGCGCAGCGCGTGCGCAGAGTCCTCGCTTCACCGGCCCCGCCCTCTAAAGATGGCGGGGTGGGATAGGGCGGGAGCGCTCGGAGCGCTTCCCGCATTATCCTGCGATAGTCCCTCCCGCGGGGTGAAGGCGGCCAGCAGGGTCGCTCAGTCCAGAAGGGACAGAACAAGGACCCATTTTTAATACCCTGAGTTTGGGACGCAGAGTGGAGGCTCCGGAGGTCCCGGCAACGGTAGTGCGCAGGCGCTGTGTCTGGTCTCGCGAGACCCTTGCGTTGCCACGGTAACCTGCCGCTAGGGCTCTGGATCGCCTGGTTGTTCCGATGTCAGGCTACCGCCGTAGTCTCTAGGAGGCTGGTTCTCACCGATCGTTGTTGTTGTCCTCGGCACTCTCTCCCTTCTAACCCAACATCTACGCTTCCAGCCCTCAACTTCTGACTGCTTTTCTGTATGTGGTTTGCCCTAGGAACGCAAAACCCTAGCCCCTGTCCCAGTGTCCCCATCTCCATTCGGGTCCCTGCAGACTCCAGCACCATGAAAACCAAGAAAAATGGGTGCGAGGGATGTTGGGTAGGGCAATCACTTCCAGGCAATTAATTCCATCAGGTGTCCAGAATATCTCCATCAAATGACAGAATAGTTCATCAAGTGACAGAATACTCCACCAGGTGACCAGAATACTTTAGCAAGCAACCAGAATACCCCAGCAAGTGTCCAGAATACTCTGTCGGGTGACTAGGACACCCAGCAAGTGACAGAATACCCCTGCAAGTGGCAGGCTATCCCATGAAGTGACACAATACTCCATCAAGTGACAGAACACCCCAGCAAGTGGCAAAACACCCCAGCAAATGACAGAAGACTCCAGCAAGTGTTCAGAATACCCCATCAAGTGACTGAATACTGCAGCAAGGGGCCAAAATACTCTGTCAAGTGACAGTCTACTCCATTAGGCGGCCAGAATACTTTAACAAGCAACCAGAATACTCCAACAAATAGCAAAATCCTCCATCAAGTGACAGAATACCCCAGCAAGTGGCAGAATACTCCAGTAAGTAACAATACTGCAGCAAGTGCAGAATACTCTAGCAAGTGACATATACTTCAGGTGACTAGAGTACTCCATCGAGTGACAAAGTGCTCCAGAAAGTGACCAGAATACTCTAGCAAGTGACAGAGTACTTCAGCAAGTGTCTGCTTGTGGCTACTCCGACCACGTAGACTAACAGTTACAAATGCAGTTTCTGGAAAGGTAGGGACAACTGGTGAAACAGCTGTATAACAGTTTAAAGATCCAGAATCTGAATCGGTTGTTCCACCCCTGACAAGAGCTTAAAAGACGGTGAATTGCTTCTGACCTAATGAGCCCTCTCTCCCCCACTTTTCTTCTACTTTTCCAGTCTAACTTGGACTATCTTCTTCTACCTCGCTTCCTCCTTTTCTCAGTCTCGTCACGGCTTGTTTTGTTTCCCGTTTTGGAGTCCAGTTTCTAAATTTTCAGTTTTCATATTTAGGTACCTACTTAGTACCTAACTGGCCACAAAGTAAGCAAAATAAAAAACTGTGTGGCTAGCCGGGCTCGGTGGCTCAGCCTGTAATCCCGCGCTTTGGGAGGCTGAGGGGAGTGAAT